AGGCCTAGCGGCAGCATTCATGGTGGTATTCGGAATCAGCATCGTCGACTACCTATAGTCCAGTCGGTTTCGTTGAAAAAGCGATTTATCAGTTGGGGATCATTCCTCGTAAGTTTAAACGAAGCAGGGTGTAGACCTGATTCTTTTTTCCGTAAGTAGGGATGTGTATTTTCGGTAAAGAATAGTTTTTTACCAAAAATACACATCCTTGATTTAGAACTGGAATTTAATTTTGAAAAAATGATCGAAAAAGCCATTTATACAAAATTTCCATATTTTAGGCCCTTTAAAAAGCTTTTAGTTTTGGGCTGATGTTAAAGATCAAAGTCTTTTACTGATCTCCTGACAATTTTAGGTTTCAACCTATATCTGATTGTTATGAGAACGTGTCTGTGTAAAAAGAGAGCGAAAAATCGAGCTTTATTTTTGAGGCTATTAAACACGTTGCGAAAATTCCATCTTTAATCTTACGTTAAATCTCATCTTTTTATTATTTTCTATCATACGAACTACTTTCTGCCTCGCGAAAAAAGAATCATATCATATCTCTATCTCATCAAAAAAGAATCATATGTTTCGTATAAATATAGTAGCGGTTTCGGCCATAATTTTTGCATCAAGGGTTATACTTTTCACCAGAAACAATCACAGTAATATGCTGCTGTAGTTAAAATATAGATTAATTTGCTTCTTACTTTCAAACAGGTATTGCACAAACCATTCGTGACGACGAAGAGCAAAAAAAACACCGTTTCAGTAAAAAGTATTTATTCGTTGTACAATTACTATTTGATATTCTCAAACAAAAAACTCGATATATTCAGCAAATAGCTAACAATGACAGTAACGAGGGAGCGACTGAAAAGTTCGATATTATTATTAAAAAATTTCAGGAAATTGATCAAGTTTGTGAAGGAGAAATCCATCAAGTTCATTATCAATCATCATTGAAAATCATTACTCATCTTGCTGATCAATTACAAACAATTCAGCGTGATACACGCGAATGATTGTGATATAGTCAACCACTTTGTAGTCTTATTAGTAGTACATTAATGTAGCATCGATTACTTTCTTCATGTACTCACTTTATCATACTGTGATACATATATTTTTTCTTTTATACAATTTAGTATCATAACTTTTATTTCGCAATTAAAAAGATACTTAAATAAGTGTGAAAAGGTAATCGAAGAGAAACTTGTATGATTGAGAGATGGATCTGATCGAAATCACCAAACAAATGTTTATCTATTGAAAAAGGTTTTAGAAAGTGAGACACTATATAATTGATTACTTCACATTGTTTTTCCTCCTTCATGATGTAATATGTTTCCGTATGTGGAGTATAAACATCCGCGTAAACGTTTTCGAGTGGTTTCAGTAGTTCGAGATCTCAATCTTTGAATTCGTTGTTCTGCATCCGCCAGAGGTGCAGAATAAGCCGTCGTACACAAGCGCGTGCCTGAGAAAGTCTTCAGAAAATCATACCATAGCAAGTACTTGAAAACTTTTTTCTAAAAACGAGTTTATTGACGAAAAGTCTAGAAGTCATATGTTTATTTTGTAACTGTATCGGATCTTTCTTACTATCTTCACTTTCTCCTGAACATTTGGTGATCGAGTTAAGTATTTTTTAGAACTTAATGCTCAAAAGAAGGTGACGGCTGTTTTTATTGTGAGTGAAGCGGTCGCAAAGATAAACTGAAACTTCATTGTAAGAGCAAATAATCTGGCCAACCGATCAAAATCAAATTGGCAGTGAATAATTTATTTCCCTTTTTCAAAAAGGAAACAACACCAGAATACATAATCATTACTACCTATGACGATTCGGATCAACAACGTAATATGAATTTTCCATTTGATCTTCAAACGAATTGACCTCTGTCATCTCCCCCTAGAATAGCAACAACATCAATTTCCACATTCTCACTTCCGAAATCAATATCAGATTCAATTGAGGACAAATTGCCATTAAAGGCACAACAACTTGTGAAATTGCCGAATCAAATTGAAACTATGAAATCAGATAAAAGTAAAATGACCAATCAAGATCACTATCACCTCCATCACTAATTAATGAACTGGAAAAGCTCATTAAATACATGAAATGCTCTCATGGTTTATATTCTTTAAAGAGTTTAGCAACAAATAATTAACTTGAAACAGTAACAGAGCTGGGTAAGTCACGGGTTTTCCAAGTCACAAGTCAAGTCGAGTCAAGACATGAGTAATAAAAAATTTTCTTTAGTCAAGTCAAGTCAAGTCACGACTTGAAATTTCTTTTCCGTAGAAAAATGCCCAAAGCGGAGCTGGTCAAGTTACCGGTTATATATGAACTTCGGCTTTTTGTTTAGATACGATGTTTCTTTGTCATATTTCAAAAGATAATCATAAAGAAGACAATGCTCTAATGACCCTAATATAGTTTATGTTGTTCATATTATATCAGGTTTGGACTCAAATGAGATATAATCCATATCTTAATCAAGTATCTCAGTTGAGAAACGAATATTTCGCAGAAATAATAGTTTCTCAATCGAGATACATTTGATAAAATATGGATATGGCGAATTTTTCAACTGAGATAATTTTGACACGTGTGTGTTTAAAATGTGCAAGAGTGCGGTATACAAAGGTCTATTATTCAATAGTGAATGAAATAAAATTAGCTATATGATGTATCTCTCCTGGCTATCTAAGATGTCAGCATGTGTGAATGCCGCTCGTCAGGCAACTGATCGATATCATGTCACTCAAAACTACAACAGAAACACTCGAAAAACGAGGAAAATGACACCTGTTTCCCGCAACCACCTCTGAGTACCTGAGATTGATTGGAACGGTTCTCGGTCAATTCTTGAGCTATATAGCTGAAACTTTGTTCATATGTAGAATCGAACATGGTCTATCTATCTGTGGTAGAAATATGAGATCGAAAGAATGCATGGTCATGGAGAACGATGAAAAACAAGCTTTTCCGTTTATTTTGATCGGGCGGATATATACAAACTATGCCTAATCTCTGTCTGTAGAAAAAACTACAATCATTTTTATGAGCCACTATAAGAAAAAAGTCGAGATACCTGTGAAGTGTTCATCCAACGCATTTACAAACGCAAATCTTAAAATACTGTGTAAAAAGTACAGTTTTATTTTAATGAAACTATATTTGTCTGACGATGATCAAAATGTTAAGAAAAAGTCTTTTTATTCAGCTGGATGTAGAGATTATTAGATGGTCAAATTCGGTAAAATCCTCGGCAAGCTAGAGAAAAGTCATTCTTTCCGCGAATGGTCTAAATGAATGACATTGTAACACCCCAAAAAGTTGAATTCGCTTTTCATTATTCAATGATACACGCTTTCAGTTTTCTTTTGATATTTTTCCAGCGATGTTTGGATATCCTGTACACAGTGGACAGTTTTGACTAGGCACGTGGACATGTGCCAGAAAAGTGATACGAAAGCCTCTAAACTGTATTTGTATAGGTTTTCCTATGCGTTTTCAAATGGTGTGATTATCCTTGTCTTATGGAACTCTTACAACTTCGTGTAAATCTCGTCTAATCTGCATTCTACTGCTTCCGCCAATTCGGAAAATGATTAATGATTGTGCCAGATAGATCTTGAAAACTTGTTATAGTTAGTGAAAAATCATAGGACTAAACTTCGTAAAATTGTAGCTTCTGTAGAATGTGTGTGCGAAGAATTGACTTTTTAGTACATGGATGAAGCTAAAAGATCCAGCGTATTCGTTTTATAATGACGAATAGTTGATTCTTATGATAAATTTAAATCATAACTTCCAATATACTAATATCTAACATGACTCCATCAAAATCAAATACTAAAACAAAGGACGGGGGGTGATAAGAGCCAACATCGGCCCCACACAAATTATATTGACGGATCTGATGTAGTTTTTTTGTTCTCGATTAACTCTAACGTATTTTTAGACCTTAAACATTCTTTTCAGCGCCCCTTGGAAACATTTTCGCAAAAACGCCCCTTCACGCGTTAAGTGAACTTAACTAAAGTATGTTCATTATTCCATCTCTTTCATCTAGAGCAACTATCAACTATTATACACCATATGATATAGAATTTCATGGGCTACAAAATGATATATCTTTTGTATTTTCCGAATTAACAGGAACAGCAGAACGCACATTAGACGAGATTTACACGTAAATGTCGAGAACTTTTCTTACGTATGATATTTCAATTCTTTCAGCGTTAGTACTCTACACCCCATCTAAAACACATTTTAAGCAACGTTTAATTGCTGAATATGCATCAGAGGTCTCTTCTCTCAGAAAAAAACCTTTTGATTTTTCATCCGATTTCAGCCGCATTTTCAGAGAATGTTGATAATGGCTAGAATAGATCTTAGTAAAAAACGATCTAAAGAAATTTGGCGCCCTTTCAGGTATCCTTGATTATAAATTCTTTTATTGTCCATATGACATTGGATCAAGCTCAATAATATTTCTAGGGTCAGTTTCATACGGGGAATCAGGAAAATTAAGTTTAGAAGAGGAAAGAGAATCACGCAGCACGCGCAGAATGACAAATTAGAATGAGTGCAGTGTTATATTTTTTCGATATTGTGTGTCATACAAAGATAATCACACAGACGCAAGAAAGAGAAAAAGACGCAAGGTCACAAGCAACAAAGATTGACATATTTCTTAAGCGCAAACATTATGTTACGCTCGTCCCAAAAATTTCGTAATGAGATTAAGAAAGTTGTAAGAATTTCATACGACAGCGATAGAAACTGTTATGTAATTCTTATGTGTTTCTTATGAAATTCCTGCTCGAAAACTTTTGTTGTGATCTGGACTGACAGAGGTAGGTTTACAGAGGAAGGTCTAGCAATTGCCAGATCACAAAAAAAGCTGTATAAGTAGGAATTTCATAAGAAACGTATAGAAATTACATAAGGGCTCTTATAACTGTCGTATGAAACTCTTACAACTTTCTTAATGTCATTACGAAATTCTCGGGACGAGCGTAACATAATGTTTGCGCTTAAGAAATATGTCAATCTTTGTTGCTTGTGACCTTGCGTCTTTTTCTCTTTCTTGCGTCTGTGTGATTATCTTTATATGACACACAATATTGAAAAAATATAATACTAGGAAAAATAAAACACTATTTGTTCTAATTTGTTGTTTTGCGCGTGACACATGGCAATGCTTCTCTTTCCTCTTCTAGATGTAGTACTTGTGGTGATACTTTGTATCTACACGCTTTGAAGGAGAAGACAGGACTCATCATCAACATTTTATTATCTTAATTGTTTTATTATTACTTTGTTATGTTTCATTACTTTGAATTATATTTATATAAAAAAAATGAATGATACATGATTTTACCATATAAAAATGAAAAATAGTGACGTTTGCGTTCTCCCATTGTACTTTTTCCTTCTTTCTTTTATTTTGAAGTAAGCAATACACTCAAGGTGAACAAACTATGCGTCATGCACTTTTGTGTTTAGTTCTACTTAATTATCTAGTTGCCATTTTAGATTAATTTGTAGCTTTATTGCAATAATTCGCAGAAGATGGAAGCTGTTAGCTGAACAAGCTGAGTACATAATCAGTTTACAGATTTTACAAAATGGAACTACGATTCTGATGCTGAGACATTAGCCAAAGAGCTACGTATATTCGAACCGAAACAAGCAAGGACGTTTTTAGGCTTAGGTTTGTTTATCAAAAAGTAATTGACATCGTTTTAAGAAAAATAGTCATGGATCTCTTACTTTTTCTAATAGAAATGTTCCCCAATGCGTACGCTACACAGTGGGCAATTTTGGCTAGAGCAAGCGGACATATGGTTTTATTCACAAAGTTTGAGTGCTAGAGTGATAATAAAAACTATTTCCTATAGGTTATCGGGTGCGCTCTTTCTAATGGTGAAGTCA